ACGAATGGGTATTGCTTGACACCCATAGGCCAAGGGTGGATCCGCTCCTCGGCCTAGTGATAATGAAGGAGTTCCATCCTCTTGCTCCACAAAAGATGTACTCTTTCATGAGCAATTTGCCCTCACAACACTTAGACTTAGACTTAGTTTCATATGAAAGACTTTTCGTCAATCCCATTATCACCATATTCTAATAACTCAACACCACCTCTTTCCCTTTATCGAGCTACTTCCAAGTCCCAATTTTTGTTCCCCACAATCCTACAAAATCGGTTCCCCTTCTTCCTTCTTATGATGCCGGGGTGAAATAAAGTATCGAACCCCATCCTCCTCTCCCCCAACGGCGCCCAATGCCATAACTTATTGAAGGTTCTTGCTTGTACAGATCAATGTCATGTCCCACCACTTTGTCACTCAAATTCGGCATCAAAATAAGAGGAAGAATCTAGGGTTGTAGAGATTAGTAGAAAACTCTAGAACTCTCTAGATATTTTCAAGAAGACTTTAAAATTCCCTAGAACTTGTAGAGAATTCTAGAATATGAACTAAAGTGCAAATGTGTAGGGACTTGTAAAATAAATATTATTTATACTTAGGCCCCTAGGAAGTAGTATATACATCAAGCTCAGTAATAAAACCATTGTCACCCAAGTTTTTGGAGGATCTGAAATCCTTAGACAGCTACCTCTAGCTCTAAGTGTGATTGGAGCTTTCTCCAAAGAATGTGCCCCATTGCTCAACCTCAGAGATGATAATGAATTCGGTTGGTCATCCCAGTCTTGGTCAGCCACTAACATAACAGAAGATAACCATTGCTTCACTAATGGTAGAGAGATTGGAGCCTCAGTAAGGGGACCATAGCGGTTGGAAAAAGAACTTCTAAGGTATTCAAAACTAGCAGGTCCCTTGATTAATGGTTCCAACGAATTGATGCGTGCTTATTTGAACCTTTGAGTTTCTGAAGGAAAACATTAGGAATTATAAAATCAAAATACATGCGCACAGACAAGCTAAACAGCACAGAGATGCCACTATTATGATTTTTGTTGTATTTCTTTCTCTTTTCCTATAGTTCAACAGGCTCCTTTCCCTCTAAACTACCATGTAATTGTCTCTTTTATTTTTTCCTTCCCGTCCAAAAAATAATTGAGACAAGAGAAAATAGTAAATATTCAACACTCACCTTAATCTGCCTTAGAACAAATTGCAAACCCTTGATAACCAAAGAAGTAAACAATGCATTGTTGTTTTCTCCGCCCTGAGTAATTTCCCCTAATTCTTTGAGGAATTTCTGGTGATTAGCCTTCAATTCATCTTCAATCGAAGGTGCTGAGAGTTTCCTCAAAGTAACCAAAGCAAATTCCAAAATCCTACCAAAATAATTCATGTCCAATGTCCCTGATTTTAGAACCTGATAACAATATAGAACAAGAAACCTAAAGCAAGTCAGACAGCCAACAACACTAACAGACTGCTATATGGAAAGATATCCAATTGTACCTCTAATAAGATATAAATATCAAGAGACGTCTCACACAGTTCATTTTGTGCTTCCTTCATAAGCTTAAGAACCCAACGGAAAATAGGGTTATCCTGCTTCAAGGATTGTATAACACCATCCAAGAAAGCCTTTTCCATTCCCTCTTTCACTCTAGCCTATAATGACAGATCAAGATATTTTAGGTAAATTCTCTCAGTTTATATAGAGATGAAACAAACTATCCATTAAGTTAGTTATTTATCTTAGCACTCTCTTGTTCTTCACTAACCATCTCCAAGCCACAACGCTAATGAACAAGCACTTCATTCTCCGTTTTGAAGGAGTTCCATCATCTTTCACAGACACAGGACAAAGAGGTCTCTTCCATCGCTGGATTTCCTAATAGATCATTGATTTATATTCTTGAATTTGAGAAGTACTTAGCCCCAACTCATGATTCAGTCTCTTGAATTTGTCCAAATCTAAGAAGTACATTACAAGTTTTTCTTTTTGAATTTCATTATTCCACAAATACAGTAGTTTCTGAACTTAGATTTTGTGAACTTTTTCAGAATGCTCCACAAAAGTTGTACTCTTTCCTACGCCATTTGTGGAATCGTGAGATGGAATCAGCGTTTGGATATGCGACGGTGATTCCATCTCATCATTTCATATCATGAGATTATCATATTCTCCAAAAATCATGATATGGGAATTCCATATCATGATTTGGGATTTATTAAATACAAAATTTGACCCGCAAATTTATATTTTGTTAAAACAATCCACATTATATCTACTAAACATTTATTTCATATGTAAATAAAATTAATAATCACATCATTACTTTTTAAAGTTTATTATTCTCACCAATACAAAATTATTATTGCTTTCAATTTGGTGAATATAAATGATAAAGTAAGAATTGATTTGGTGAATATAAATACAAACGGAGGGAATAATACTTTTTTGGGTTTTCATTATAAAATGCCTTCTGTTTCGGCTACATATGAAAATGTTTAAAGCAATTAATATGAAGAAGGACAAAATTAATGATGTATGTTTGATAATCACTACTTCTAATATGTTTGATTTTGCATGAAATTAATGCATTGAAAATGTGCAATCGCACACAAGTGAAACAAGGCATGAACCATATGATATTGACACACAAGTGAAAATTGTCATAACTTGTACAATGTTACATAATTATTTGTGATACTACCAAAAAAGGGGTGATGAAATATTTATGGTCTATGAGCATGAAAATATAGTTGCGAATGATATTGACCAACAAATGACTCAAAGTAACAATGTTGATCATTTTCTCGGTCATATGATCGAGAAATGCAAGTTCAAGGAGAGAAGATTGTCCGTACTATGTGGGAGGATTATATTAAAGACCAGTGCACTACAATTTATGTTCATTTTTTATTGAATTAAAGTTTGATCAATCAAAGCTAGATGAAACAATTAATTAAGTGGAGAATAAATATCTTTGTAAAAATTTATTATGGATTTTATAATTTTTTGTTTATTTGATAAGACTGAATAAACAATTGAGGTTATTTTAATAATTTTACAACTTATGAGATTCTTATGTTTATGAGAAAATATAAACACAAAAATTTTATATCACATGTCCAAACAAAACTTCAACTTCATCTCATGATTTCATATTATGATATCATATCATGATTCCATAGCGCATGATCAAACGGCTCTTAGTTTCATAGGAAAGACTTCTCTTCAATCCCATTATCATCATATTCTGATAACTCAACACCAACTCTTTCCCTTTGTCGAGCTGCTTCCAAGTCCCAATTTTGTTTTTTTTTTCTCCACAATCCTACAAAATCGGCCCCTTCTTCTTTCTTATGATATCAAGGTGAAATAAAAATATCAAACCCCATAACTTCAATTATGCAATTCCTATAATATATCAAGAGAACATTTGTAATGGTACTTCTTAGATTTGGACAAATTCAAGAGGCTGAATGATGGGTTGGGGCTAAGTACTTCTTCTCAAATTTAAGAATCTAGGGCCATTGATCTATTAGGAAATCCAGCGATGGAAGAGACTCCTTGTCATGTGTCTGTGAAAGATGATGGAACTTCTTCATTACGTGAAAATGTGAAAGATGATGGAACTTCTTCATTACGTGAAATTGTGAAGATGATGAACTCCTTCATTACGTGAGAATTAGAATGAAGTGCTTGTTCACCAGGTTGTGGCTTGGAGATGGTTAGTAAAGAACAAGAGAGTGCTAAGGTAAATAACTAACTCAATGGATAGTTTGTTTCATCTCTATATAAACTGAGAGAGTTTATCTAAAATGTTATAACTTATGAAAGGTTCTTGCTTGTACAGATCAATGTATGTCCCTCCACTTTGCCACTCAAATTAATCTAGAGTTGTAGAGAGGAGTTTAGTAGAAGACTCTAGAATGCCCTAGATATTTTCAAGAAGACTTTAGAATTCTCTAGAACTTATAGAGAATTCTAGAATATGGACTAAAGTGTAAATATGTAGGGACTCTAAGGGTGTGACATTAAGCTCCGTAATAAAATCATTGTCACCCAAATCTTTTTTCCGCAATAAATACGTCAAGCTCCGTAATAAAACCATTGTCACCCAAATCTTTTTACGCAATAAACCTGAGAAGGAATGTGAATAACTCTGAATTGCTAGGATGAAATCGAAACCCATCATCTTGGAACTCCATCATTCTTTTTTAGCGAACAGAGTATAGCGGCAGAGAGACTATTGAGAGTATAGCGGCGGAGAGACTATTGACAATATATATTGTAACTACCAATTTATTCATACGAAAAAAAGATGGAACGCAATGGAATAATTTTAGGAATGGTAAACGCAGGAGTATACTTTCATTTTTATTTAACTTACTATTTTAAACAATAAAACAACGTATTCTATTTACTCATTTATGGGAGTACTTTTTTTTATTTAAACAAAAAAATATTTAAAAAATTTCCTTAAACTACGAGGAATTGAACCAAAGGCCCTTAATTAATAATTTAGTCTAAAAATGTCTTTGCTACTAATAATATGGTCCAAAATCCCCCATATTGTTACTGGTTAAAAATATCTTTTTCTTAATAAATATATTTTTTCTTTTTAAAAAAAACTCATTTGAATCTTGTTTATGAAAATACTCTATGATTAAAGTTAGGATTAAATATCTCGTTTTGCTTATTTATTGGATGATTTTTATTTTTAATGAAGTGAATAAATTGTTTCTTCGGAGAAGGCTTAAATTGTCCCTCAACTATCTAAATTGGTACAAACTACCCTCCGTCCATTTTTTCCGTCCCACGAATTTGGCTAAAAATACCCTTATTTCAAGTTGCTCACACTAAAAGAGGCCAATATTATACCAAATCTCATAGTTTAAGAACATTTTAAGCAGTTCTTAGTTAAAATAATTTAAAATTACTTAATATATAGGCTCATATGATTGACGTGATCTTGGGTCCCCTAGAATTTTTAAAAGAAACATTTTTTCTAAAAACTTACGATTTTTATTTTATATTTAGAAACAACACTTCTTTCATAATACATTATATTGCATACAGTAACATCAACTTTCCCGTCCTATACAAACACGTATGAACGCAAGCTGACAATTTCTTGAACAAGTGTATGCTACAAAGCTCTCATATTTTTAAGCACCTCTAGATACCATGAACCATGAACTCTGGCTGAAACAGTTGCCACTACCAACAGATCTTCCATAGCCTCAACCAGTTTTCCAGTGAGTAGACTGGCACCGACACGTTTCAGGCTGTTCTCCGCCAATCGCCTACCCTCAGCTCCACTTCCGCAAAGTAAAATTGCTTTTGCTGCCAAAAAAACAGTGCGCGAAACTCGAGTGAAAATGGCATCCCCTGCTCGCAAGCTCTTTGCCAACACGTTCGCCATGATCTCCTTCCTTGCTTGAAGCTTCTTTGGCTCATCACCTTCTAGGCAAAGGCTAAGTGTATTAACAACTTCAGTAATACCAGCATCCTCCATGTTATCCAGAAGCTTAAACAGCTTTGTAATAGATTTTGATGATATATCTTCTATCTCTGAGGGGTTGGTAACCAGGCATTCAGCAAGAAGAGTCTGCCGCAAAACCAATATGCTGCAAAACACACCCACAAAAAAAAAAAATTAGCAAGCAAAGAGGTCCTCCTCCACTATATCATGTCCTTTTTCCCAACCCCGGCAATAACCCAAAGTACAACAACACAAAGCAAAACCTCAAAGGGATTCAACAAATCAAATCTTCCAGTTGAAAACAAAAAGTCGTGGATAGCAAGTAAATTGAAACTAGTAACAAATTTTAAGATGGAAAATTGCAAGTCAGCACTTTCTAACCCTACAGGGAATATCCTGCTCACAATGGACCCCTTGAGGAATTGAAGAATCTTCTATTATGATGACCAGGATATTCTATCCAGACTTCCCTCAGTATATGTTAAACTCACATCTCACCCAGTTGTAAGTATCCACAACTTCGCAACTATATATACTTGCCTAACACACGATTTGACACACATAAGAATAAAGCATGCTGCCTTAAATTTGTTGCCACCTACAAATTTTCATGACTGACCCCACAATAACAATTTATGGGATGTAACTAGGCAAAATCCATCCATTTCCCTAAGCATGCCCAAAATTAGCATTAAATGTTACATCCGTAGCTAATAGGACACCATTGTGAATTATCATTACCAAAGACAGTTTCCTTTGACCAGAAATAGGATCTAAACTGACAAATTAAAAAGGCATTTTTGCTTTAGATGAGACCAACAGCCCATCTGAAATGCAATTTACAAGTCATTCCATACCCCTCACAATGAGAACATAGAAATTAAATTTCTGAACAAAAAAGAGGATCATCGTAAATAATTAAACTGTGTACTGCACATCATCAGAATATGCAGACATGAGAAAGGAGCTGGAAGAAAGGCAAGAAAAGTAACAGCACCTAGTACAGATTACAATGATTTTCTGGAGGAAAGCCTGGACAGCTCTCAATCTGGAGAAGTTCAATTTCAAAGTCTCCGGTAGTGTTTCCACTGTCAACCCCTCAATTTCACAGACAAGTTGCAACAAACCGAGCCTTAAAAGCAGATCAACCTTCTCTCCCTTGCATTCTGGTTGTTCGGCTTCTGAAACAAAAGATTTACAGATGTGATAAAAAAACTGAGTAATGCTTATGTTGCTTATAGGTATTTCCACATAATCACAGACAACAGTTGAAAAAAAAGAAGGTACTGAAGTAACTAACCATTAGTCTTCAGGGTTGGAGGATCTGATATCCTTAGAGAGCTACCTCCAGCTCTAAGTGTGATTGGAGCTTTCTCCAAGGAATGTGCCCCACTGCTCAACCTCAGAGATGATAATGAATTCAGGTGGTCATCCCACTCTTGCCCAGCCACTAACATGACAGAAGATAGCCATTGCTTCACTAATGGTAGAGAGATTGGAGCCTCAGTAGGAGGACCATAGCGGTTGGAAAAAGAACTTCTAAGGTATTCAAAACCAGCAGGTCCCTTGATTAATGGTTCCAACAATTTGATGCGTGCGTTGCTTATTTCACCTTTGAGTTTCTGGAGGAAAATATAAGGAATTATCAAATTAAAATACATGCGCGCGGACAAGCTAAACAGCACAGAGAAGACCACTATTACGATTTCTGGTTCTTCTTTTTCCTCGTTGAAAGTACCAGTATTCATTCAAGACAAATAAGCTCAGTGTTCGACTTGCATTTATTCAAGGAGGCTCAGTCAGAAAAAGTTATGCCATATTATTAGCACTTTATGTTAATGTCTTACAAGAGCTAAATGTGTCAAGAGCTGGCATAGAACTGGTGAAGCAATAAATAGGAACTAAATACTTTGCCATATGACCTACTGCTTGGGTTAGCATCGAAATACTTTGCCAAAGATTTTTGCTGTATTTCCTTCTCTTTCCCTATACTTCAACAAGCTCCTTTCCCTCTAAACTACCATGTTTGTCTCTTCCTTTTACTTTTTCCTTCCCGTCCAAAAAAGAATTCAGACGAGAAAATAGTAAATATTTGTTAATTATGGTATATTTGGATAGTGTAGAATGCTTAAATATGGTATGATTAAAAAAGTCTAGATATGAGTACCATAATTAACAATATTCAACACTCACCTTAATCTGCCTTAGAACAAATTGCAAACCCTTGATAACCAAAGAAGCAAACAATGCAGTGCTGTTTTCTCTGTCCTGAGTATTTTCCCCTAGTTCTTTCAGGAATTTCTGGTGATTAGTATTCAATTCATCTTCAACCAAAGGTACTGAGAGTTTCCTCAAAGTAACCAAAGCAAATTCCAAAATCCTTCCAAAATAATCCATGTCCAATGTCCCTGAGTTTAGAACCTGATAAAATGACAAAACAAGAAACCTAAAGCAAGTCAGACAGCAAGCAACATTAACAAACTACTAGTGCGGAAAGATATCCAATTGTACCAGCAAATTTAGTACCTGTGATAGGATATTAATATCAACGGTTTCGACTATCTCCTGTCTCCAACTTGGAGGAGACATCTCACACAGTTCATTTTGTACTTCCTTCATAAGTTTGAGAACCCAACTGAAATCAGGGTTATCCTGATTCAAGGATTGCATAACACCATCCCAGAAAGCCTCTTCCATTCTCTCTTTCACTCTAGCCTATAATGACAGATCAAGATATTGTAGGTAATCTCTCTCAGTTTATATAGAGAGGAAACAACTATCCATTAAGTAAAGCCAAGTTATTTACCTTAGCACTCTCTTTTTCTTCACTAACGATCTCCAAGCCACAACCCTTGTGAATAATTTCATTCAAAAGCACTTCATTCTCAGTCGCACGTAATAAACCAGTAGATATGCTTTTTTGAGGAGTTCCAGAGCCACGTTTATCGCACAAGTATGAATCATCTTCCACAGACACGGACCAAGCAATACCCTGTGTACCACAACACCTTTCATTTTCATTGAACTCCTCCGAATTCTTGATTTCAGAGTTATCAGATGAACCAGCTGAACTCGGAGAACCAGTCTCCATGGAGTCAATAAACCTAGACCGCAGCTCAGAAAGAGCATGTTCCAGACGTTCAAGTCCAGCATTACCACTCAGCTGCTTGACCTTTGCCCAAATAAGTTTCTGATTTTCAATCACCTGTAACAGTAAGTTAGCTTCAAGGAATTAAGCCAGTAAACATGTATTCTATCTCTAATTCAGTGTCCCATTTTCTCCAGACAAAATCAATAAAATGAAAATTTGAAAATAGAGACATGATATAGAGAATGCTTATCAAGAAAAACAATAATTGATATAGACACGTGGAAAAATTTAGAGGCCAGAACTTGATATTCTTTTTTTTTTCTGAGGCTGAAAACCTAAAAGGCAGCTATGAAGTAACTTGAAACTAGACTACAGGATATATATATACACATTGATAAATATGAAGTTTAGACTATTGGTGATATATAATAAACAGAATGTCATAAACTGCTGATAAGACATTGAAATCTCGACTTGTAAAAAGGTGGATATTATTGTAGGACAACGAAATGAAAAGATGGATATTCAGCCACGAGACAAGGGAGTGGGAGTCATCAAATGCAAATTTCAAGAACTCGTGTCTTCCAAACCCACACCTGCCTCTGGAAAGAACTGAATTCGGCTGTCAGATCATCGTAATCTCCCATAACCTGCTTGCAAGTCTGCATCAGAGAGAGCTCCAGTTGACAAGCAGTACTTATCAAATCCTCTTCTAGCAACTTGGCATCCTTAACTTTCCACATCACAAAGTGAAACAGATAAGAGCACCATGCTTTATCAAAAGCTTTGAGCTGAGAACTGAAAGCCAGCCTCACTGGGCTCTCCTCTTCTGTAGATATAATGGGACCTCCTACAATAATTTTAAGCAGCAATTCGAACTCTTTAACAAAGGTTCCAGCAGATTCAGCAAGAGCAAATTCAGACTGCCCCTTTGCAGTGAAAACTGAACCTGGATGTCCTAGAATCATATATGCACAGAGAACTACTCTGACTGGGTACCTTGATAACTTGACTGGAGCTGTCACTTCCCCCCTAGCTGGGACTGAGGAAGCGGCACGCTCAAGAAGATGATTAATATTTTCGAAACAAAGTACATCTCTTGGACCAAGAAGCTCATGTCTGATACTAATGCGGTACTCTAGTCGATCGAGTAATGTTTTTGCATTTTGGATGGTCGCACTTGACCCCATCTTCACTGCAAGTTGCTCAAAAGGCATTCCTTCAACAGATTTTTTGTTAATATCTAGGGTTATATATGCTTTAGCCAATGAAAAAGTTGTTCGTCTTAGTTGGATGAACCGCCTCCAGCACCTGGAAATAATGATAGCAATACGCTACAATGAGGATAGAAGAGGACAACCACAATGCATGACCCACGCTACAGAGGAAGCCGATAAATAGCACGTTATCTGTACATAATATTAGATAAACTATTGAGTTCATTTTTACATACAAGAACGTCCAAATACAAAAAGCGACACCACCTCATAGCGGTAGTCAGCACATCAGAACAGAGGGAACAAACAAATTGTAATGTGTATTTCTTTCTTCTTTTCTTTTTCTTTTAATTTAAGATTGTGACATATATTTCTTTACTTAAAAATGAAAAGATACTTATTTCTCAAAGAAAAAGAGTAGCAAAAATTGTTATGTATTTTAACCATAATGCAATACTCAACTCCTAGGATATGCTTCAAAAGTTTAACGTCTCTTGGAAGGGGATATAATTAAGGGTGAGCAGATGTTTGCCATTTGCTTAATCTTTAATGCATGGTACAAATTTCAGTCCAAGAATGGGTTTGATTGCAACATCCCTCTGATAATGTAGAATCAACTACATAATTTTTTTTAATAACCTTTGTGTTTGAGCCAACTTGCACGTACCTCAATTTATTTCACGTGATACCTGCTAAATCACACCAGTGCAGGTACCAGTAAATCACCTAGTGTTTAAAATCAACTACATTTTTGAGTACCTATAAGATCTCTTTGATCTTTATAATGCAAAACCTCAACCTAACCCCTCAGTGTCACGAGAAAAGAAGTGCTAAAAGGGGAAGGGATGTAATATGATAATATATGTCATGCAATAATTGTAAGTCCTTTTTTTTTGACACAGTAGTGTCGGGTCAGCTTGCCTGCATTTTGACTATTTAACTTTTCCATGGGGTACACCTCCCACCAACATAGATACAGAGTCTGCCAATCAAAAGATAGACATATGGGAGAAAATTACCTAAAGTTGTCTCAGCTGGAATGTAACCCCTTGTGACCCATGGGTTTCACTCACTTCATTGACCATGGGTGCAAGAATTATGAACTTTCTTAAGAGCTCACATGAAATTATATTGAAGTTCAGCACAACATAGACAGCCCCAAATCACATTATGGAAGGCTAATAAACTGAGATACTTAATTTCTTTTGCCTAAATGAACCTAGAGAGTTGCAGCAATGAAGTTCTTGAAATGCCCTACAACCTACTTTTAAACATGTTTGCTGAAGGAATCTGGAACTTGACTTTCCATTCAGTTCACTGACTTCCTTCTTGATTAATAAAGTAAAAATGACAAAAGCCTACTTTAGTTTAAAATTGATATCAACATTAATTATCCACAGGAAGAAACATCTAAAATAATGAATGCAAACATAAAGAAAGTTCATAGCTACAAATTTACCTTGCTACGTTAATAGACAAAAACTCCCCCCACGCAATTATGTCTGAACAAGAACGACGTGAACTTAGCAGACTTCGCCTCTGCTTTAAATACTCTGCTCTGAGCCTCTTTGCCTAATGATTACAACACTATTAGACATTGGTATAGCAATGATAGCTTGCACTTACTTCATACAAGAAAAATTATGAATCCAACAACCAGCTAACACAGGCAAAATCTATTGGGTCAAACATGTTTAACATCAACACCAATCAGACAGCATTCAGGCACATGTTTCATGTTAACTCTGTGCTATCTTACTTTATTTAATGCCTTAATTGAAGGGGAAAAGGTCAAATTTACCCCTCTACTTTAAAATTTTGTCTACATTTAACCTCCGTTATACTATCGGGACAAACTTACCTCTGTGGTTAGCAAAGTTATCAAAATTACCTCCAGCCCTAACAGAAATCCCCAATTTTCAGATTCAGATTTTTTTTTAACACACTTATTTATATCTGCAAGTTCAAAAAGTGGCTGCAAATTCACTAACTAATTGCTAAACCATATTTTAATGGAGTTTCGCATGGGCAATAATTGATTCCAAGAACACAAAAATTGATTTGATTCATTTAATATACACTTGTAATATAAAAGACATTTAGGGGGTGTTTGGATTGGTTCTTTTTAAGTGGATTATAAGTTAAAAGTCATAAGTTGGGAACACCCAACTTTTGATTTTTGACTTTTTTTGTCCTTTTTCAGCTTTAAAAAGTGCTTAAAAACACTTTCCAAAAATAGCTTAAAAACCAAAAGTCACTAAAATAAGTCAATCCAAACACCCACTTAATCTATTCATGTTATTTTACATGTCGCAACAAGTAATTTAATTAATCGCGTTTTTAGGTTACATATCTATGTTAATTATAGAAAGTTACCTATAAAAGGATATTTAGTAACCTAATAATGAAGTTCTTTTTATATTGTCAATCAATGTATAAAAATTACCAAAAAATGTATAGAAATTAAACTCCCTATATATACACTACATAAAAAATTAAAAAAAGGTCCCTCATATCAGCATCTCTTAAGAAACAGGATTCAGCTGTCAAAAAATAGTGGATCTCAGTGATTAACTCCAATAGTTAGACAAAGTCTTGTCTTATTGATTAGTCCTCTAATTTGACCCACCAAAAAAGGTATAAATCATCCAAGATCCACTTTTCAAAATAAGTTTTCTTGTCTTATTGATTAGTCCTCTAATTTGACCCACCAAAAAAGGTATAAATCATCCAAGATTCACCTCTTTTCAGAATAAGTTTTCATTTCTCTTATACATTTTGAAACTTTTCTTGTTTTTTTTCAAATATAATTAATAGAAGAGGGAAACACGTTTCAAAAATTAGAATTTCCCCATCAAATTTTGTGATCCTTCTAAAACTTGGAATATGTGAGAATTTGTAATCATTTCTTAGATAATACGGATTTGGTATTTGGTAATTTTGTTAGGACTGGGATAATTTTGAAAACTTTGCTAACAGCAGGGTAAATTTGCCCCTATAGTATAACCGAAGTTAAATGCAGACAATATAGGAAAGTAGAAGGGTAAATTTGACCCTTTTCCCTTAATTGAATGTGGATACCAGAGTCACACTACTAGACACCAATATGACGCTTTGTTCCTGTATGATGTTTACATGACAAATAAGTGTAGTTAGACAGGATAGACTTTTTGAAAGGGCAAAAATTGGTTTAGCACAAAAACTAATGAAAAATACTCCAATGATCACCTTTATCAGGACCAAGCCTTTGATCAGAGAACATGAATAGATATAGACATTTGATGTAGTACTAGATGCTCTCATATAGCATGTCAAACTACGTCAAATGCTCTTTTTGATTTTTAATGTGATTTTCAATCACCATTATACCCAAGGATGTTCAACAGCTTGAGCTCTATTGCCTCTGATGTTAGAATGAAAAAAAAGTGCAGAGAGCTTCTGAAATTGATAGGGCGATTCCATGGCACTAATCTGGAATCAGACAGATTAGTGTGGGGACATCACATCTGTAAACAGAATTTACAACTGGGGATTACTTGGAAGTGCAGGTCCTTGGAAAAAAAGCTAGAAGAGTGTGGCCCCAACCAAAGTGAAATGCTTCACTTTTGTTGGTAGCCAGAAGAGCCTACTTGACTCATGAGGCTATGCAGAAGAGGGGTATCAACATTGCATCAAGGTGTTTTTTGTGCAAAGAAGCTTTGGAGTCCAACAAGAATCTGTTCCTTCATTGTAGTGTAACAGCACAAGTCTGGGATTTATTTACCAATAAAGCCAATGTTAACTAGGCCATGCCAGAACACACAGCAGACTTACTAAGCTATTGGATCAGAAGGGGAGGAAACAAGAGTCAGAAGAGGTGGTGGAAAACAGTCCCAGCATGTATTTGGTGGAACGTCTGGATAAAAAGCAATCAAAGAATTTTTGAAGCGAAGGAATGTGCTATAGTCTATACAAAAGATTAAGTGGAAAGTTATCACTGTACTAGGTTTTTGGTGAAAAGAACAAGATATAGAGGAGGAGATCGAATCAGTGGATTTTATAGGATCTTTATAAGTCTTTTTCTATAATATATTTTTGGAGGTGGCCAGCATAGCCCTTAATGCTGAGGAATACAAAAAGTTACTAGTTTCAAAAAAATAAATTTGCAGAGTGCTTCTTTAAGTCTTTGTATCAATTATAAATTCCCTCAGTAAGTTTTTTCCCCTGTTTGGCCTCCTATTCATGTTGAGTTCCTTAATAGAATACATAGTAACCTTTTGTGTTCAATTAGATTAACACATACCTTTTGGAGACGATTCTCCAGTTGATCTTTTAGTCTTATCCTCTCAATCTCCCGTTGACTATATACAGAGTTTGCTATCTGCTTAACTTGTAATATTCTTGCACGTGCCTTTGATCTCTCTGCTTCCAGAAATCCCAGTCGCTTCTTTTCAGCAGCAGCCCGCTTCCGATGAATAGCAGCCCGGACACACTCCCTGTATTTGCTCTCTTGCATTACCCTCCTTGTTAGCAACTGTGAAATTCGTTCCCTTTTTGCAGCCTTCCGTTGCCTACATTTAAGAAGAACCCTCCGGTTCAATTCTGCCCGCTGAGCTCGTGACTCAACCTTATTGCCCAGCTCATCACGTTCTTTCTCAAAACGCATTTCCACAGCATTTTTAGCTGCTTGTCTAAGCTCATCTAATCTTGCCAAGCGCTTCTGAACTTTTGCAAGGATGCTCAACCTGTTTAACAAGTACAGAGCCAATAGCAACCATAAGTGAATTTGAGGCCTATAAAAAGTTGTATGTACAATAATTAGACTGGGGCTACCAGTAAAACAACAGGTTGGGCTTCGACTTGTCATTTCGCATTGAAATCTTACCCCTACCCAAAGTTAATTACGTTCGTTACAGTTCTCACATTTTGCCAAGTTCGCACTTCTCAACCTTATCCTTTATTCTCTTCCACACAAAAATCCACTGTCATGTGGGTTACAATTAATACAAATGATCGAACCAATTGCCACCACCTTAACATAGTAAATGAGTTGTTGGGTAGACAATTGTACTTTTTCCTGTTTACTCATTTACACATTTACTGTGCAAAACAAAAACCTAGTAACTCATTTACTATGTTAAAGAAAATTTGTCAAAAGAAAAAACTCAAGAATGATGAATTTATACAGACTAGAAATGAGCAACACTCACTCCAGCCCTTCCCAACTGGAAAACAAAAGGAAACCATTTGTTAAGGGAAAGGAAACCATAAGTCATACATGCACCATTAAAGGCTTAATTTCTTAAATCATCACAGCTCAGCTCATAACATGATGCACGTATGAGTTATGACACTCTTTTACCAATAAAAAAAAGTATAACACTATTGTCCAAATACTTATGTGTGATGAAGAAGATTGACAAATATAGAGAAGCCCGAACAGTTTACCTCTTCTTTTCAGCAGCAAGAAGCTTGGCTTCTAGTTGCTTTCTAAGCTCCCCATCCTGCGACAATGAGCATGTCGACGATCTCAATTTCGGCCGTGCCTTGCTCGACAATAACTCATAAAATTGCTGCATTTTATTAATGTTTGGTCAACAACTCAACATAGAGTTACCACATCACGCATAATAACATATTGATAAATTCCTGGAGTAGTATTCATTTATACTCTAAACCATCAAAGCAGCCAGGCAACTTATTTCAAGTTAAAAAATGCCTTAGCATAATACTCAACTACAAGTTCTGAAAAAAATTGGATTGTTCTCCATGTTAAGCAAATACTTGGCTGATTCAAGTAAACCATTATTTTTAAGAAAGTGAATCAAGTAAATTGAAAAGCACACTATTTCAAATATTACATCGGACTATATTTTTAGGTTCAAATTCTTTGTGGTAATATCATTCTATATCTTGTATTGTTCAAGAGCTAGGCAAGTTGACAAATTTCTGAACAATACTAAATATGAGCCCCACATATTCTTCTAAAATGCCATCATGAACAAGTTTTTCATTTTTAACGTAATTGTCAACTAAACAATTAAAATGAGGTGAATTAAATAAAAGAAACCATAAATTCGAATTTAAAGCTCTGATTATCATGCATTGGCGGAAGAAAACATCTGTTTTGCATCTCATTTGAACTTGCTCTGGAAAAACATAATAAAAAATGTTAGATACTTAACATCACCTAAAGCAATATTTTTTTTGATGACAAGGGAAACCCGCAGTCGCTATCCTTTGGGTGCCCACAGGGTAAAACCCCGCTCATATGCAATAACTCACAAATCACATATGAGAGGTAACCCGCACTAGGCAAGCCTGGTGCGACGAGCTCGACCCAGAAGGCAAACCCCTTGCTTTCGCT